CTGGCGAAGCGAGGGGGGCAAGGGAGAGAGAAGAGAGAGATTAGTGGTACGGTAATGGACGGGTGTCGGGAGATTACATACAGGATGGCCTATGCTGCAGGTACAAAGTGTGAGATTTATCTTAAAAGCTTTTTGAAACTCCTAAACTGATACTATTTGTTTTCTGAATCATTATTATTTTTTTAATTACTGCCTTTTACTATTTCCCAGCATTAGATACACATCCCTTTATAAATTGGGTAAAATCATTTTCACTCCCTCACACAGCCATGGATTTAAAAATATAATTATTCTATTATAACAAAATAATTAGAACTCACAGACATAAAAATACAATAATAAATAAAACGCATAAACAAATACATACATATACATATCTTCAGTATATACAAAATACCCTACTACCCATTACAACAAATTCCCAAAACAAGGAAAACCAACAAAACAAAATACTACGTAAGTCGACCCGTCCCGCACGGTGCCTGTCACACGCCACACCGCGCGTTACGGAGTCGTATGGTCGCAGCTCGTTACAAAGCGTCCCGAGTGCCGGTGCCACTTGACATACTCCCGGTGCCAGCCAGTGGGGAAATAAGTGCCCGCCGGCGCCGCGACGCCTCTTAAAAGTAAGTGACCCTCGCCACTTACGGGACACTTATTCGGCCACACGGGATAACCCTTGCTAATTCCTCTGTAAACTTTTTAGCATCTGAATTCACTCTGTACTTATATTCTTGGCCCTTAAGGGCTTTTCTGGTCCCTCATTAATCAGCTTTTATCATTAGCATTATAATGAAAACCATTCACAATACATATCACCATTACCATTAGCATTACCATTACCATCATCATCACCATTAATCATCATCATCATTAGCCCCGTCAATATCACCACCATTACTTCCACAACTTTTATTTTCTTTGAACGAGCTACGACCTCTCAACCCAAGATTACTTATACACTAGTCTTACCCTTCTCTGTACGGGGTGCATCAGGATACGGAAGGAGAGGGAGGAAGAGGGAGGAGGAAGATGATGATAAAAAGGAAAGACGAAGGAAAGAGGGAAGAGTAGAAGGACGGAGGAAAAAAGGAAATGGTAAAATGGACAAGGGAAGAGGAGAGGCGAAGAAGACAACGACGACGAGAGAAAAAGAGAGTAGAGGGAGGGAGAGGAGAGGAGAGGGGGCGGGCCACGGGAGCGAAGGGAGAGGACGCAAGGATGAGAAGAAAAGGAAGGAGAAAAAAATGACCATTAATACGGGGTAGACAAACACGACAAAAATGATACAAAGGAGATAAAATCATTCGTGCTCAACTGGAGTGCTCGACGTAAGGTTACATGAGGGTCAGATGAGGGGAGATGCTACGTGTACAGGCTAGTGAAAATAGTGCCTTGATTTTATACAGTGCTATTGATACTCCTAAGTCACTCATTTCAAAAACTGTGATACCTCAAAATTGTATGAAAATTGTATTACTGTCAATGAAATTGTTTTTTTTTTTCTAAGATTTCATATATTCAAATATTTTTTTCAACAATCTGCACAAAATCAGTCCCGAGACACATGTTATGGGTATTTTCCAATAAACGTAAAATAACAGTTTTAGATACCTACATCTCATTCAGGTCATTGTGCAGATTGTTATCAATATACTTGGAGACAGTTGGATGTACAGTTCCATTCCGGCATGCTTATATCCCCTCCCAACAGTAGGACTACAAGGCAAAGCTGATCGACAAAACAACTTTATAATCAAGAAACGGAAAGAAATCAACAAAAAGAAAACAGAACACCAAAAGGGCAAAATAAAAATTTAAAAATCGAGAGGCGCCGTTCGCTCAGCTGATCATGACCACGCAAGACCCGAACGCTCAAGTCGAGTCGTTGCAAGGTGCAAGCGCTGTTCATGACGCGAGCAAACGCAAGCATGAAATGGAGATCCTCATGTCTCCGTGTGAGGGGAGAGGGACAAGGAGACACGACCTTGTTCTAGGAGATAGATGCAAAATGCGAGAAGGAGGCCTATATTTACATAAACTTCTTGCATACTCAGGGAATGTTCAAGGTCTAGTCCTTGGGAAATTTAGATGAACTCAAGAATAGCCATGCAACCTAACAATGTACAGCAATGACTGCACGGGCGATACGAGAAAACTACAAAGCGGAAATGCGAAAAAGAGACTACGAAAGAAAAACGCCAACCATCGCGGCAAACGACTGAAACCAAAAACAAAACAAATATAAGAAATACGAACTAACTAAATATTTCTACAAAGCATCATCATCATCCTCGGCGACTCCTCCATGGGAACAAAACGATGCTTAAAAAACGAAATCAAAGGAAAAAAAACAAACCAAAGATCGGGCCCCGTCCACTACCCGTGCGTACGGCAAGGGGAGCAAGGGGGCTGAGGGGAGCAAGGGGCTGAGGGGGAGGAAATCGACTTCAGGCAAATCACTCGAAGGGAGGTCGAGTAGGTCGAAGAGGGCAAGGCGTACGGAGGGGGAGAGTCGAAGGAGGGCAGGGAAGAGGAAAATCAAGGGAGGGCAAGGTGGACTAGAGAGAAAGCAAAGGGAGGGAGGGAGCATTAACGGAGGGCGAGGGAGGGAGAGAAGCGAACGAAAGCGTGGACGGCGTGAGAGCAAGAGGGAACGCAGGGTCGGGCACGCGGCCACACTTACTACGGGCGAGCAGCAGGAGCCATCGTTGCAGTTGTTGCAGACCGTAATGCACGTGTAGCGCTGTGGGGGAGACAACGTCCGGCCACGTGTTAGCTCTTTCATCCAAGACTAATCATCTTCGTGGACGGGTATTACAGAAGACCAAAGAGAGGTACGGCTACCAACCTATACCGCCTTTGACCAACAATGCAAGTGTCGTGACAACACCAATACACCAATCAGAGGTGGGTATTGGGTGTTTCTTACAATCAGCAATACCAATTCAACATTATCAGAACAGAATCTCACGTAATTATCAGATTAGAACAAGAGAAGTGTTAAGCAATAACTTTGTTTTCCTTTTTCAAATGATAAATTTCCCCATCTCTGAAAGGGCCACTGCTTGCGTAAAGCACAGTAGCGTCCTGACATGCGTTCTCTCCAAAATGACCTTATTCTCTAGTTTAAAAGGAGGGAAATGACAGAGTACAAAAATAACTCGTAAAATTCCTTAAACCTAATGAATCTAGGTGCCATATCTAAGGGGGTGGGGTGGAGGGGGTGATGGAAGGGGGTTGCGGGGAGGGAGGAGGGAAGGAGAGGCAGATCACCATATCAACGTGACACACACATGAAGCAAAGTGTTCAGTGAACTTAATAACTTTATTCATCGGGGGAATAATGATTTAGTGGGGGAAGGTCTAACTAAACCTAATCCGAAATACGAATCCGTTTAGCCAAAGCAATCTCCGAGGGTCTTTTAAAAGTGTGAAAGGGTGGAGAAGAAACACAAACGTTAATTCATTCAAATGCACGCAGAAGGGGGAAGGAGGGGGAAGGAAAGTAGGACTGGTCTGAGCTGAAGGGTATAAATTAAACGTTTTGGATACATTACTGTTTAATACAATGTTGGGACGGTTGTGTTGGTTATCCGAGGATGGGGGAGGACAGAAAATCATGGAAGTCACACCTATGCAGACTCATGTGTCTTTACCTGGTAAATTGGCTTACCAGTTATCTCGTGGCCTAACCATGGGCGAATGTAATAGTAGTTGGCGAAACATAACTTATGCACTACTGAAGTATCTATAAATGGTTTTGATTTTTTAAAGAAATCGCAATAGTATCTATGGTTATTCACCTTTACTTTGCATGTGAACATATTCATCATCATACTACGTGTACGTGTACGTGTACGTGTGTGTGTGTGTGTGTGTGTGTGTGTGTGTGTGTGTGTGTGTGTGTGTGTGTGTGTGTGTGTGTGTGTGTGTGTGTGTGTGTGTGTGTGTGTGTGTGTGTGTGTGTGTTGTGTGTGTGTGTGTGCTGTGTGTGTGTGTGTGTGTGTGTGTGTGTGTGTGTGCTGTGTGTGTGTGTGTGTGTGTTGTGTGTGTGTGTGTGGTGTGTGTGTGTGGTGTGTGTGTGTGTGTGTGTGTGTGTGTGTGTGTGTGTGTGTGTGTGTGTGTGTGTGTGTGTGTGTGTGTGTGTGTGTGTGTGTATGTGTGTGTGTGTGTATGTGTGTGTGTGTGTGTATGTGTGTGTGTGTGTGTGTGTGTGTGTGTGTGTGTGTGTGTGTGTGTGTGTGTGTGTGTGTGTGTGTGTGTGTGTGTGTGTGTGTGTGTGTGTGTGTGTGTGTGTGTGTGTGTGTGTGTGTGCATTATATTATATATATATATATATATATATATATATATATATATATATATATATATATATATATATACTGCACCTTTAAAAACACTGCAAAACAAAAGAACCAGAAGGAAAGCGATGTTAAACCAAGGAAGAAAAGGCGTAATGCGAGGCAGAGGAAAAAGAAAGGAGGGGGAGATAAAGAGCGGAAGTAGTGCAAAACACGAGAATGGTTGCGAAGAAAACAAAAAGTAAAGAGAAATGTTAATGATTTCCAGAGATTTAAGAAAGAGAGAGACAATATAATTTCATCGAAAAAGAAAAAGGAAATGTGTATGTGTGTGTGTTGCATGTGTATACATATTAAACATTATATATACATGTCTACAAATATATACATTCATACATACATATATGTATATATGCATATATGAATATATATATATATATATATATATATATATATATATATATATATATATATATATATATAAATGCAAACAAAATTACCATAACCACCCCGCCCACACACGGTCGCATTTAAACGAGTTTACCTTCAAAATATGCTAAAAGAAGCGTCCGTTTTCTAAACAAATTCACACCCTTTTACAAAATATTCAGCGTTCAGCATGCGAATCGCCACGGACATGAACATTGAAGCTTGTTAAATCTGCTAAACATTTATTTCCCCCTCAAATAACAAACA